AAAAAATAATGAGGAAGTTACTTCAAATCCGGGTTAATAGTATCATAATTTTGTTTTTTGTTCCCGTGGTTAGCCATTAAGAGTTCTGAAAGCTGGTAAAGTTCATAAATCGCGCCTGTTTTTCGTACGAATTTTTGTTAACTATAAATAAAAAGTAAACAAATAAGTAAAACACTTGGACTCTCTTATCAACGAGATTGTACTCAACATTGTAGGAACTTAATCCATGGAAGAAGTCTTTGTCTAAATCTTTCGTGCGAATAGTTGTCTTAAAGTAGTCCTCCAAAAAGTGTTCGTAAGAAATCACAAAAATTCCTTTTGGATGGAAATGTTGCGTGTTGGGCGTAAACAGATCGAAGCCAATTTTCTCGCTCTTAACTGCTCACGGGACTGCGATGTAAAGAAACCTTGGAAGCATTGTTTGAACGATCGCCGCAGTCTTGCAACACTAATTTACTTCCCCGTTTGGGGGACAAGAAAGCCCAAGCTCGATGCCCTTACTTCCTCGGATCAATTCGTTCGACATGAAACATAACGCGGCTAAAAAAGCCGTGCCGATGGTTAGTTTCAATAATGAAGGAACAGAATCAAAATGCAATCAAACCTAGGCTTGGACTAATTTATGCACGTCGCTGAAAGAACTAGAAAAGCTGTTAGAACTCAAACTTTAAAACAATTTACAAATCAAATAAAGTAAAGAATTTGGACTAGGAATAATTTTCATCTGGTAAAGGAAAATTTCTAAATATTGCAGGAAAAAAACGAACGCCGTCTTAGGACTTGTGGTTGAGTTTAGACCTGACTCTCTACTCCTCTACTGATTCTCTGCCCAAACCACAGCATGCACGGAAGTGAATTAGTCCAAGATGACTCCAAAAGAAAAGCGTTTGCTCTTACATTGGATTTAACTATTTGAGTAAAACCAGGATCAGCGGGATATCAAGTGTCGTTTGCTTGTTATACACGCAATTATACCTGTATCAACTGGCTGTTGCTGATTCAAAGTTAAAAAGCCTTTAATGGCCATAAAAAAGGATAAAATTATACGTGCGTCAGCTCAGCTCTCAGGCAGCGCTAATGCTCGTGAAATGTCAATCAAGCACACGTACTCATTGGCCAATTGTTTAGTTTCAGAGTGAATGATGTTCCCTTTACATTTATACATCAGTAGCGAGGATTAACCGAATACGTCTCAGGAATCTTCTCTCACCAACAACACAGTTATCCCAACCAGAGCTTGAGCCTCGCATAGCAAC